CAATAAAGACGAGTTTCGATACATTGAACGATCGTTAATGTCAGAAGCTTACTTAATAACTCTTTCAAATAGTACTTGTTTGGCTATCACAATCAAATAATTTTGATTATATTCGAATGGAATGTTCATTTGTGAAATTGATTTCAAAATGACAATGCTCAGCATTGATCCCACTGATCCTTTACTTCAACGAACATTCATACATCATTCTTGGCTCTAGGGACATTGGAATTTTATATGAATTGTATTTAGTCATTCTTTTAACAAAGAGAGTAACATGTCTGATATAAATTCAATTCAACATATTGTCTGCGATTTAAATCTGAAATGTTCAAAACATTATTGGTCTGTCAAATTTTCTATCCTCTTTTCATAATTCTTAACGCTGAAATATCGCTAGAAACAGTCAATTCCATTACCAATATGAATTTTCGATTTTATTCGTTAGTTGTACTTTAAGCCTGGCGTTAAATTTTAATAATCTAAATGGGCGGTGGCTCCCATATTAGATATAGTATTCAATATAATAGCTACTTAAATCATTGCATTGTTTTTCTGTGATTTCATGCACGATGATGTAACTTTTCTCTAGATTTAAACTTCAACTATATCGTATTGAATAATAAAATTGTGATATGTACATGAAGCAGCGGGAAAATAAGATATATTTTAACTATAGTTATTCCTTTTTAAATTTCAACAGAAGACGCTTACTATTGCGGAACACATTGTAAATATTTCTTCTTCATATTCTGTTATAGTTGTATCGAATTTGAGATAAGATTATAATTATGTTGACATGTTGGTATTTTCTTTTCGATGTTTATATCGGAATGATAGGCTTGTGGTTATTTAAATTTTCAGTTAATAATTTCAGTGCTTAAATGTGGCATTGAAAGTTCGGATTTCCGCAATTAGGTCTTATAAAAACACCAAACAAACAACAACAAAAAATTGAAAAACGCGTTAACACAGCATTCCTTGCTAGATAAATATAGTGGAAGGTACATCTCTTCTAACACCTAATACATATAAACAATCCAGCCCTCTCTACACTATTTACTGATATTTACACGTTTGTCTACAAAACAATACAGGCAGCCCTGATAAGCACTGAATTACTTTATATCGTATGTCAATACGTAACAAAAAACAACGTGATTTCCAGACAGATAGGCGTGTCCGATTGTGACAACAGATAGCCACACTATTTGTCCTCCGGCCTGTAAATCCTTCTACTCTGATTTGTCAACAATCTTCATGATATCATCAGTCATTTCCAGCCATCCAATTCCGCAAGCGAAACGCAGATAGAGCTTCGTATTTCCCAATATATCTAAACACATTAATCTTTCTCTTTCATAGGTTTTTAAATGCACGCTGCTACCACATTCGTTTTCTACGTTTTCGTGAACAGGTCATGTACCCGTCACATATCTTTTGTGAGAATCGATATCTATTTTTTTAACTCCATAGGGTTCGCCAGGTTTCACTTTGTCATCGATATGTCTTTTTAATGCCCTTTAATTGACATTGGATGAAATGAGAATTGTACTTGTCAAAACGTGAATTCCACTGGAGCCGTGGAATAGATAGCATATCCAACAAGCATTACAGATGTTACTTTGTATTGCCTACGCAAGTTGACAGTTTATCTGACTCGATATGACACTAAGAAGACACCAAATACAATATAAGACGAAAGCAAATGGACTTAGTTGCAATAATAGACTTTAGCTGTTTTTGACCGAGTTGGCACATTTCTAAAACTGAGTTCGTCTATGCATCGAATATATTTTTATTTTATATGTGTTTGTTTGTAAAATTAAGGATCATTTAAAAGAAATCAAATATCCTTGATGTCCAGCAGCAGTTGTATTTAAATTCTGAGCTGCATTGATTTGTTCCAGGTAATGACATTCAAGTGAAATAACCTTTAGTTTGTACAGGTAGTGACTTAATCAACCCTATACGCAGTATTCATATGATTCGAGCTGCCCATCAAAACACAGCAGACTATCAGCGATAACTACATTGCCTTATTTGACCTTTAAAAACCTTTACTAAAGATTTCTTTTGTCGTTTGTTTTCATGCTTTCATGCACAGTCTGCCTTTTTGTCGCATTTTGTAGTTGTCAATGCCTATTTTGCGTTCAAATAGATTGATGTGCATAATACACCGATGTATTTGGTTAACATTCAAATGACGGCATGAATGCTGCACTTCATACAGTTCTGAACTTATCACTACTTTTAACTGCAATACATGCTGACAACAATTTTGTTATACCGATACTAAAATATAAAACAGGATTACAAATGCATAAGGTAAATGACGTAAATTCCCGAGAGTTTATATTAAAGTAAACCTCAGAAGTCCAGAGACAGGACTGACTGGTAAAAAGAATTGGGTTGTAGCTCAGCATTGTCACAAAAGTTCAACATTCTCCTTCAAAATGTATTAAAGCATCAAGTTCATTGATACTTTAAAACAGCACAGGAAGGTTAAATCTGATAACTTTATTTCTGTGTATATTATTTGACGCCTACTTCTTTGATCATGTGATTTCAAATGTGATAAGATTACTTTGAAACCGTTTTTATTGAATCCAGAACACAATATGAGTCAAATGTACCCTATGGTGTTTCCACTTGTTCTAGGCGTACCAGCACTGTTCTTCATGTGAAGACGGGATTGCAGTTTCAGTAATTTCGCATATTTGAACCAGGCTGTTTCAAAATAATTCAATATTGTAAGGACATTGTATACGCAATTTTATGATTTTATGAATGCCGTGGACCCCCCCAACCCCCCAACCCCCCCCCCAAAAAAAAAAAAAAAAGAAGAAGAAAAGAGAAACAACAAGAAATATCAACATGTCAACACAATCATAATCTGAAATTAAATTCAATAAAACGAGGGCAAAACACACAAGTGAATAACACCTTTTAATACGAGTTTAGTTCTAGATACAGTGGAACCAACCAATGAATCAAAGGAAAGATCCATAGCGAGACTCCTAAATAGTACAAGGTGAATAAGACCAGGCATTCCGGAAGAGTAACCATCTTCTGCTTCATTGACGATATCCGCCATGTAAATCTTTGTCAATCCGAGTAAGTGATGTCATGTTGTCAAATGAGAACAAGGTAAACAACAACAGAACCAAGCTAAACAGAGACAAACTAACGAGTATTAAACACATCAAGCTTCATCTCTTACAACTACCATACGGTGTTCTGTCATACGCCACCACTCGGTATAGTAAATCAGGAGAAAAATTGATAATGAAATATATAGACATTCATCAGACCAAAATTTAAAAATGGAGCCATCGACGGAAATCAAATGAGCGCTCCGACCACTTGAAGCATTAAGTACCTACCGATTGACCAAGTTGTGCTTGAAGGTTGGCCCATTTGTGTCGGGATATTGGGCAACACATCTTGAAGTGCTTTAACTAATTTGGATACAGCGCATGCTACACCTGTTGCTTTCGACAGTGGTAGTTGCAAATACAAATACTGTAGAACGTCATTACAGCTTGATTAATATATTTTCACTTCTTCCGGTCGACAAAGCAAAGTGGAAAGTGTAATGTAGAACTCCAATCACCATTTCCTGCCAACAGCATCTAGGTTCTTTGATCTTGCCTCATCTCATTAAGTTTCTTTTGAAAACCTGGAAAAATACCTTGCCCAAGATAAATCGATTTGAAATTAGAGTTTTGAAATCTAGGTCTTTGTGAAAATCCTTTTAAAGATTTGTTAACATGGGAATGTTTTTAGCCATATTTCAACGTAAGCGATAACGTGGATGTTTCGCCATGTTAAGCAACTTAGTTTTTTCCTGCCCGGAGTTGAATGCTATATGAAAGAAACAATACACAAAAGCAGATTTTTTTTTCAGAATGTTTGATATATTCTCTGTCTTCCAAACTTGCATTGATACGAAGACATCTCCGTCTGCAGAAATTGCAGCCTCTTAATGCTCCTATCATTCAGAGTCATACATCTTATCTTTGAACGTATTAGCAATGTTGTAAATTGAGCATTGAAGAATATGTCAAATCTATTTCAGTCCTATATAATTAATAGAAAAAATCTGTATATGTTAGCCCATTTGTCCCCTTCCTTATTTAATACCAACATATTGGTAAGACTGCAGAAATCACAGGACGTCATTTTTGGTTCCTTAAAGATTACATTAGCACTGTGTCAAAACAAATTTCTGCATGTACATTTATACACATACAAATTGACAGAAAAAGTCAACGATCGATGATAATGTCTGTGTCAGTAGAAATATATCATTTACATGTATTGACAGCAAGCTGACAGCCGTGGGTTGTTATTAATATATTTGATATAAAATCTAGATTAAGGTGAGAAAAATTACGTTTCTCGGAATAGGATCATACAGGATCTCAATTACATACCGATTTCATAAGAGACGGTAACACAAGTTATGCTAATGTCAACCAATCTCTGTAGCAAGAAAACACAATAATAAAATAATAACGTTTAAGGAATAGTTGATTTTTCATACATATATCAGATAAATGTAATATAAATAATTCATTTTAGTTTAAGTTGTTTTGATGCTTTTTCATTCTCAAGCAACAGTCTCTTCTTTCAGAAAGTACAATAGACTTTTCTAGGAATATCAATATCGAAATATTCAGAACTGCAATAATCTAGGCCAATTTTGTTCAGAAGTCTACTATATCTATTCTGCATTTCATTCAGTTCCTCTTGTGAACGAACTCGATTTATGATAACTGCTTCAATGCTAGATTCACATTTTGTGCCAAATCCTTTCTTTATCTCTTCATATATCGCAAAAGCATTTTAAGATCAAATGTTAAAATGCTTCGATTTAAGATACGTTCATACTACCAAGAACAAAGTCACGAATGTCTGAGTGAAAAGTGAATCTGCGTTAAGGATCTGCTCTTTAGTACAAGTGTACTTGTGTCCCGTGTAAAAGTGGTTGTTCTCTATAGAAATGTCACAGTATCTCCTGTTTCTGGAGAACCACCTTGATCTTTACTATAAAGATGAGTATGGCTATTAAAACTCCCAAGCTCTAAGAATATCTCCTGTTCGTACTCGGTAAAACTAAGCATACTCGTCATGGAACAAACCTTGACGATAGAGTTTGTTTTGATATTAAGCCGTCGTTTACATGGACTGATCGGTTGTCTGTCATTTCGTCCAACTGATCTGTCTTTAAGTCTGTCCATTGAAGTGGACGACCAATGTCTGTCCGATTGAGGGCTTGGCCATTGTTGCGTATTAGACACAGTCAAGCGATTGGAAATAATATGAGAGTTACCGTTCTTCATAAGTACCAGAGAACTTCCGGATCTTGACTTGTTCATTTGTGGTGAGCGTGGGTATAGGTTCATGTTTGACATACATCTGTTCTGGTTCAGGTTGGGAGACCGGTCAGAGTATAGCACCGATTTTGACCTAGCACTCAACTCAATAAGTTCATCAGGGTTGTAACAACACCTACACAACGAACGTCGGAAAGCCATGCGGAATTTCTTTGACATCAAATTATACAAAATCGGATTAACGGTGGATCCGACGAAAAATAGAACACCTGAAACACGGAAAGGCATTTTAAAGTGATTACTCATTAAACACAATAACTTTCAAAAACATTTCTCTATAGACCATCAAGTAAAAATCTTTTTTTTTTATCAGAGAAACACAAATCACTGCAGGTCGGGGAAAACGAAAACGCTATTTCTTAAACTTATGTTCATGATGACAAATAACATGGACGTGATAAGGTCTACAACATGCATTGAGAAGATGTTAAAAAATCTTTTTACTTTTTATAATTTGGTAACAAACCGAGTTATACTAAGACAAAACTAAACAACAAAACAAAAACAAGCAGGTTTTCTTACCGGAAATATAAAAAAGTTTTGCTTGGGCCTCTATTAGAGATGGCGTCCAACTCTCTGGTGGTATGTATGACGTCATCAAACGTTGTGCATTAAATGGCGCCCAGCAGCAAAAAAAGGCAACAACGACGGCGACTGTTGATAAGATCAAAGATGTCACGATTACAACAATTTGACATTGTCATTTGTCAGATCATTCACACAAGCATCAATATCTGATGAAAAACATCGTCCCGAGCTCAAACAGTACTGTTAAGTAAGAAAGATGTTAAACATTAAAATCATATCATGTGTTGATAGTTTGGTCATTGAGGTCATTAAAAAAGAAACAATTTTTTCAATATCAGAGTAAATCTAGAATCTTTTCAAGCGCTAACAGGGTTTGCACTATTTGAACTTTCGTATAACTTGGAATTTATTGAGCTTTCAACCAATATAATCAAAAAGCAGTTATCTTAAAAGGGTTCCACAAAGACACACAAGTGAATTTCACTTTTCGATGCAATTTAGAATTCAACATACAGGAAGTACCAATCATTTGACCAGATATCATGCTGAATATGATGTAGATGATATTTCAAAATGATGTAAGCAGGATATTGTGTTTTATGTGTTGTAGATAATATCAATTTCAATATTGACGATATTTGATTTCAATAATTTGATTGAATCAGAGAAATAATTATTTCCAAATGGTCTTTCCAGTGCATAACATGTCTCAATGTCATTGTACCCAATTCGCAGCAACAGCTGACTAAAGACATATTTGCTACTTCCTAGTGTAAAGTTCTCACAAAATCATTATTGCTAGCATATAGAATAGAAAAGAAACTCAACAAGTTCCAATGTTACCATGAGGCAGATCGATTAAAGGGTTAAGCCTTGTATGATAAATGCACAGTAATTTCTCTTCCTCGACATGCATGAGTAATTTTACGACTATTTTGCAGTATAAATGAAGCAATGTTCATTACGAATAATTCAATGGCAGTATTAGTTTGTAGTATCACATTCTATTTGGAACAAAAATCATTCACTTGATAAAAAACATCCTTATTAGCTATTGGTAATTATGTTCTCGTGATAATACCAATGTTTTGTGTATTTCAAATAATTATATTGTTTTGTCTTCGAATACAGAAGTACCATCAATGTGAGCTTTATAACGTACATGATACCGACATTCGTTGGTTGTATAGTTGTTTTAGTCTTTATTGCCGGCGGAAATATCTCCCGTGTGTGATATAATCAGAAAATATGTCAAAACATGCTTTAATCTTCCGAAGATCATAACGGATGTGTATGGTTTAATGACATTTTATAAAGTCTGGTTGCCACGGATTGATAAAGCTTTGGTTAAACCTTAATATCGCAATCTTATTCAAAAAATGTGAAAGTTAATGTTTATGATTTTATGTCCTAACATTAACCTGAAATGATAACGGTTTAAGCAACAGATTATATTAAATTTTATTTGCAACTGTATACAAAATTTTTCGCGGCAATTAATTTTCGTTGTTTCGCATCCTAACAAATCCGCGGCGAGTATTAAAACAGACTTCGGTATACTATACGATACTCGGAGAAGTTTATCAATCCTGTCTTAATTTGCGGCGATAAACTTTCGTGAAACTTTCATGAACGCACAACCTCAAATCATACAACCAAAGGGAACATCACAACTTTTCATTTTCAGTCAATTTCAAACAGTACAGTTAAAAAGTTTATTCTACATGTTGAAATAAGTTGGAAGAATTCCACAGAAAACTTATTCGACTTGAAGGGTTATTGAGAACGAAAAAAATAAACAAGCAGAATCTGCTTGTTACACTTACACCGAAATATATCGGGTGTTTCATTGTACAACATATTCTGTTTAAACCATTTGGTGTCATATGTTATCACATTGTCAATAAAATGTTACTCGATGGGACGTCATGCGATACTGTCCATGTTATTCGTCAATGGCATTTTGGAAAAAACTCTTTGAGTGGCATCATCTGTCTCGGATACCGTTTTCAAAGAATATATGTTTCACGGAGGTTAAACCCTGTAGTAGACAATGATTATTCAATAATTTGTATAAACAAATTTAATGTTTTCTTAGAGTCAAAATGTTACTATTCACTTGCTTATCAATGTCTAATTCGTAGTCGGCAAAAGACAGGCGTCAATTAATAAGAATTCACTTTATGGCAGCCATTTAGACCAATAATAAAAATACATGCAGTTATGTTTGTAGTTTCTAGACGCAAGAACTACAGTTGATCAAAATCAAACATAATTTTGCATTGATATCTATAAGAAACTTCTACATATACTTGACAGTCATTTTGTTCCTTCAGGAAATAAGTTGCATAGATGTTCACAACATCATACTACACGTTTACATAATTGATCAAAATCTGACAACGGTTGATGTCTTGATCAATGACATGTCATTATTGTAACCTCGCAACCACAATTACCGATGTTTTGTTTCATTAAATTTAATATACCGGTTTTTGAGAGAGTGACGGAAACCTCTACGGGAAACACCAGAAGAAACCAATATATCATGTGAGTTACATCCCGGTGCCAAATTCAATTACTTTTAGACGGAAAAATACTAAATCAATAATCACAGGTATTATATTCCTCTTGGGGGACTTATCAGCCTTATGCAGAGGAAATTCTTCGCGATAGCCATTCCTATGATAAACTAGCATTGTGACCACGCTCGGATGACTTTCTGTTACTCATGCAATTACAAATCACCACATTGCACGAGGTGCAGTAATCCAATATACTGAATCTGGATTCACAAGTTTTGTTAAACAATAAAGAAAATATTTTGATTTATAAATCATGACACGATGGTTACAGCTAATTATGATTCGGTAGTTTACAGCAAAGTATAATACGGTAATTTACAGCAAAATATGGTAAGTTAACTTGAAGCAAATCATGACACAATGATTTACAGCTAATTATGAAAAGTCCACTAGTCGGCAGTTTCATGGCTGTGCCTCTTTACCATGAACAGCATGCAGCTTACCTCTTTACCCCTCCCCGTCTCCCAAAAAACTTTAAAGACCAAATTCGTAATCATAAAAACATGGTTTTAATACATTGCCCAATTTTAAACAATCAACAGGTCAGTTGAAGTGGTAAGCGACGTGCAATAAAGCGGAGATATTACGGAGTCATTGGACCACGACTAGCTACATAGCCTTTAACATATTATCTGTCCTTAAGCAATGTGAATGAACATAAAAGATCTATGTATATAACACAATAAGGAAGCGATGTTATATTATGTTCACGTTATGATTAAACAGTTGTAAACGAAATGCAAAATATTGATTAGAATGCATACACGATGCAATTGTCTATATATGAACACTACATGATATTATCGCTATCTGACCAAACTAATATTTCATGTGTCCTCTGAACAGCATTTCATTCCTGGCGGCCATGTCTAAAACATATCCTGAACATGCTTTCTTCATTGTCAACATTTATCAAAACGCTCGGAGGATTCTTTAACAGCTAATTACAGCGTGATGAAACAATATCTTATCTGAAACATATTGCACAATACCTTGAATAGATATAAGTTCATATATGTTGATTCCTATTTTAAAAAGCAGTTATTGATGGTTTCCGTTATCAACAATATAGCTGTAAAAGATATCGATGTATTAAGAGAGGAAAAAGGGCATTGCTTTCTGTGGACAAAATCTGCCTTGCAAGTGACATTCAGTAACCATTCTGTACTATTCAACCTGATCTGGACATTATAAGATATTCTGTATTGTCTTATATCCATTTCATTTTTAGTGATCAATCGTCAATTACCTACTTAACGTGCACCTGTCCAATGTGATCACACAGCTGTCTGTCTGGATGTCGCGTTCCAATTTGTGTCAAATAGTTATATATGGACGATTTTATCAAAGACAGGCAAAGATGTCATTATATCGACGGTTTTCTCTAATGCTAGAATACTGGGCACGATTATAGGCCTAACTTTGTACTATTTGCTATTTCTGTACATAACAGTCGTACAAAATTGAGAATCAGCAACTGGTAGTATAAACTGTGCTTCGTATCACTTTGTCAGTCATTTCTTCAATTAATTTGTTTGCGCAGTTTTCATGTTATCAATCAATTGTATCGGGATATTGTATCACCATATGATAATGCGTTGGGTTCCCAGCCTCACTGTTGCCATTTGAACAAAGAAAATTGACCCGCATAACGTGGAGAATGATGGAGAATGACCATCGGCAAATGACAAGCACCAGTTCCGGCAATTGTCACTGACCACTCGGTCCTTGCCCAGTGTCCGTGAAAGGACATAATTTGATCAGATCGTCCAGCACATCTTAAGTCTGTCTGCAGGTAATTGATTAACGTTATTTTCTTCTGAATCTCCAGAAATCGCCGACGAGGGTTTCTGGCCTATTGTCCTTTTGCGCCTACACCAGAATATACAAGTCCCAACAGGCATTTGCCCTGATCTAAAATATTCCGATTGACCATTCTCCATCTGTACTGGGACAAGGTTGCTGATCATTCCCTATTGCTAATCGCTTCTCCGTGACTATTGTCTTTCATCACTCTGACATATATAACATGTAGCATTGAATGGTGCCGAACTTCTTTTAAGGAATAAAATTATCAGGGATATTTCAGTAGGAATGTTTTTTTCAGAACGATGTACTTTTGACTAATTTTTCACCTGTAGTTAATTACCGAAGAATATGGCGCGGTAGCGTTTTGAAATGTCAACTGAACAAGAGTCGGTATATAATAGTGTCACAAAGGCAATGATGTCAAACAAATGAAATAATTACACACGTGAGCATGCTATTAGGTACTTAGTTTACCTGTTGACGTGGTGAAATACACCTTGTGGGATAGGGTGACATTTGCAGGAAAGTCGGGATTTTTGTACATACAAGCTGTAGTTTTAGACAGCTGGAAAATGTTCCCCTAATTGCAACAGTAATGCGTTTCACTACTGTCATGTGTTGATATGGCTAGCTAAAATTCTTCAGAGTTAATTTATTTTCGAAACTGTCTCGCAGAATTTAGTTACATCTTTTGTACAATGAGTAGAGAAAATAAAACAAGATAAAGACCAGGCCCCACTTGTATAAAACATCTGAACTTGAGATTTCTTCAAGTCGAGATTTTCCTCAGCTGATATCTCCTCAAAAACGGCTTGTATGAAATTTTCTCAAGGAACAGGAGGAGGGCATCGGCTAGGATGTCCTGAAATTCCTTGAGGAATTTTCATACAAAATATTTTCAAGGAGATATCAGCTGAGGAAAATCTCGACTTGAGGGAATCTCAAGTTGAGATGTTTTATACAAGTGGGGCCTGATCATATTTACAGCATCGTGATCAAATGTCGATGAAAGAAAACACCATTATTTCTTAGACACGACTGCAGTTTGAATTAGCCTTTTAGTATTAACCAAACCGGAACTTTCAAGCTGAAATTATTCAATTTACTTAGTTTTACACGCGGTTTTAATATATTCGAAGTCTGACAGAAAGTCGTAAATCATATCAAAGGTAATATCCAAAACACTAATATCAAAGTTCCAACATGTAGAGATTTATATAGTAAATCATATTTTGTTTAACAAACTTCCAGATAGTTAACTCTTTCGGAAGGAAGTTTAAGAATGCGTCTTGACATAAACAAGAACAAAAAGTACTGAATGTACAAACTGCGCTTGAATTATTTAATTTTATCTGAAATGCACACAGCAATGGCAATTTATCTCGGCGTTTATACGGTGATGGCTCATTCCAAGTGGCACTGGAATAACTCTTGCATGGCATCAAGTAACCAAACTCTAAATCGTTCAACAAAACCTAAGATGTGCTTCAGAACTGAATAAGCGCATGTTAACTAAAATGGCAGTTTAAGTCGTACACTACTCTCTCGATTTGTGACAATATTGTATGAAATCTATGCGTTCAAAATTACACTAGTTTGAGGTCTCATCAAAAAGGAAATATGTGCGGTAGAGCTGAAATATGAACATATGATAAGTTTATCTCGAAGCTAATTCGATATTCTAGGGCTTTTCCTAATAGCTCGGTGTTCTTGAATATTGTTGATAGATGACCAAAAACTTAGTCGCAAGGTGTTTTTGGAGATACATGTACAAGTTGATGGAGACCGGGGCATACGTTTCATTGTCATTGTCATCTGATTCACGTATTGTTTTTCATTCTGGCGTTCTCTTTCCTGAGAACTTGGATCTGTTTTTTTGTTTTTTTTTGAAAACTTGGCATTACATTGATTAACCTCCATTTACACAGCGAGTGTCGTCGACGAAAGAGAAAATGTCACGGTCTCATTCTCTTTTTTCCTTGCCCGTCCCGCTTGTTTCAGTGGTATTCCTGTTTATAATGAAATTATTCATAAAAGTGCCTATATCTATTTATTCAATTTCTTAATTCTCAATCTGGCACTTTGGTATTCTAATAAGGCTTTCCGATTTTTAACAACAAATCTGACGAAGTATAACTATAGATAGAATAGATTGCTGGTATTATCTTGTGAAATCAGTTATTGCTAGACATACAAGGCCGCTATCGTATATGTTACAACAGAACAATTACCAGACGATAACAGAATTTAGACACGCCCGCGTTTGCAAACCGTCGCTGATACTTCCGATGTTGCGTGGCCAGTTATTGTGGCGTTGGAATTACATAACTCTTGTGACCAATGCATTATCACGTCAACATCCTATTCGATAAATGTCCACATTTTTCATTGCTACTGATTCGCTTCCACTCAGACGTGCACTCCTTGATATTGATAACGAAAACAGTTCAAGCGCGAAAGCGAGACATCTCCACTGTACGTACATCATATGTGTTGACTGTGGCACCAACGCTATGTCAAAAATCACTCATCACTCATGTAATGTGATACTTCTTCATGTATTGTGAAGAACATGTCAATATTCTTTACGATATGTTTATGTTCAAAGTGCAAACTCGTCTGTCTTAGCTATTGTATAAGGTTGTTAATTCTTAAATCCGAATCATTCAATTTTGCCATTAATTTCCATTGTCGTGGCTGAAGACGATTTCTAATCCACTTAGCACGTACATACTGCAAGCACGTCAGTGTGATCGCCGTCATTGCTTTATTGATTGCTCTGTTTTGCACTGAATGATATACATTTCAGTTTTGATGACGCAAATGTCCACTGGCGGGTAACAAGTTATATTTTTACATTTTCACTGATTAACAAGAACAAAAGTCACTTACGCAAGATTTAGCGTGAAGTAATTTCCGGGGAGAACAATTAGAAAACATATTAGTCTGGTCATTTAGACACGTGATGTCAACGTTCTTACGCACGTTCATGTCGTTTAGAGTTCAACGTCCTTCCGCGTATTTTTTCCTATTTGATTTTCTCTTTCATATCAAATTTGAGCAGATTAGATTAGAAAGGATTGTAAACAAAGGAATCCCTATAAGGTAGCAGTTAAACAGGATTTATAGTTTGGAGAGATTAAGTGTTATCATCCTCCCACGAACTAGCTTGTTAACATGATAACATTACTGACTAACCTTATCCTGTATTCCGAACCATGGTAAAATGCGTACATCTAGCCCCGTTGTATCGCATAAGAAAAGACAGCTGAATTTACAAGTGTCCTCATATATTCGTCGTTACGCATGTCATACAGAAGGGCCTAATTTGCGTTTAACTTAACTTGAATAGACGCAAACGCACTTGATATTCTATTGAAATAATTCAATACATTGATTTATGAAATTTATGGAAAGTTAACATTGGTATAATTTTCTCAACTTATTGTGACATTCAATTCGATGGAATTTCATTTTCCTCGGTTGCCTTCTAGTTGTCATTACTTATTTGGTTTGACTAGCGTATATGGTTGGTGGTATCGATGAAGCAGAAGACGCTTACTTTTCCACAACATCTAGTCTTATTTCCTTGTGCAATGTCATGAGTCTTTGTGTAAATGCTTCTTTTGTTTATATTTTGTCCTAGTTTTATTGAATTTGAGTTTGGATTATGTGCTTATATATATCTTACTTGTTGTTGTTCAATTGTCTATCCTAGAGAAGGCGAAGGCGAAGCATGGTATATTGTATTACTTCATGATTTTGCTATACTGTTGCTAATTATAGATTTGTATAGAGAGGTGCTATTAACTTGTGTGACTTGTCTATAAACACACTCACTTGTCGTCAAGGATATATTCATATAAAAGAACTTATCAGATTGTTGTCACATGGGATTATCTTTAATGTATTGTATGGATTGTTGATAACGTACTAGGTTATCAATAAGGACAATAACATAGTAGTTTAAGAAGTAAGAAATATATAATTTTAAATGTAGCTGTTGTATTGAAGAATCCGCCATTTGTGGATTGCTATGGCTCTGAGAGGTTTTCCGTGTCGGAAGTTCTTAGGATCGATGGCACTTCACCAACATATTTTTGAACATCCGCACATCCATTCCCTGAAGCTAGTGCCCCTCTGAATGTCGGATAATTTTATTAAATATCCCCAATATCGCATGATTGAGTTCCCCGTGCTACTGACAAGATAATGTATTTATTTTAATCTTTCTTTCAATTTGATCCAAATTTTGTCTCTTAATGTAATTGTTCCACCACCATGCATTGGTGTGGTAACATTAACGCGGAGTTGCTGTGTCTAAAGCATGTCCTACGGAAGCGAGTCCAAATATAGTAATATTTATGTTTGTAACTTACCTAGCATCTTTATCACGGCTTTTCTAGCCTTGGACTTCGTGGAGGACGAATTAGCATAAACTGGTGTTCCAAAATCAGAGGAATTGAGCGTCCGACCGATCAGTATATACATGATTGTGATCATAGTCATCGGAAGGACGAAAAACACAAAGGTGGACATTTGAAACACATGAATCATCAAATCCCGCCAGGGCGGCGCTATACTGCAGATGAGGGAGTCATCCACCACTGTGTTGTTTACTCGGATGTAGTGGTAGACGCGAGTATATATCGGGTACGGGATAGCAAAGGCTGCGGCCACCAGCCAAATACAGATTATGATCTTGACAGCACGTGAAAGGTTTGATAAAGTCTGTGATTTGATCGGATGACATATAGCAATATAGCGTTCAATTGTAAATGCAGTTATTGTCAATACGGATGAATATGACGTCATTTCCGTTAAAAAAGCCTTGAATATGCAAAACGGTTCTCCAAATCGCCATGGGTACGCTTCCCAGATGCAGTATAATTCTGGAGGCAATCCTGAAATAGAAAATTATCATCGGCATCACATGGGTGTACATAAAAATAACATAACCAGCATAGAATAATAAACCTATTTTGAACCTATTGATCAACGTACATAAACGCTTTACATTGATGAAAATGGAAGAAATTACTCACCAAATTTATTTGATATATTTATCAATTTTTGTTGTTTGTAAATTAGTGTAGGTTTAATTGTGATAACGCCGGGGAACAATTCCATAAATGTTCGTTTTGTTTCTGCAATTGAGTAAATCAGACCAGTTTAATGCAGAAGTCAACCGTAAAGTATTTCTAACTGTCATTGGCAAACATTCAATGCGCTGCGTATCTCGCAATATCACATATCTTCGACAAACACACAGCAACTGATTCAATTTATGATTGTAGTAACAGAACAGAATTGCATATGAAGGTGTAGGATTAATTGGTGTTTATTTTTTTCTGGCAGATAAATCTATATAACTTCGTACGATGTAATCCCATGTCCACTGTTGTGTAGTGTGTAATAAATTATATTAGCACATAAACATCCACTGGCTTTGAAAGCAAAGGGTGTAAATCTACAGAAAGGTATTAAATCACAAGCAGAATAAAGCAGTCAATACGATTTTATTCCCGAGAGCATGCCAATTTCAGTTTCCAAAAAAGATCGCAATTCGGTGACTTCGAGTGTCATATTATAGTGTATTTTTTGTGCAAAATGCGCATTAATGAATATGATTAATGCGACATGTTTTACCATATTGACGTTAATCTGTGAGTGTTATTGACAGATCTTAACAAAATGTGAAATGATAACATATTTTAAGCACGGATTTCTCAGAATGTCCATGAATATGTGATTAGCAGTCATTTTAATCCGAATGAAGGAAGATCGTAATGACATCCACCTTCCTCTTTAACATGAACAGCGACACTTTTCACAGATAGCTAACTCAAGTCATGACATGTGAGGAGTTTTATGTTAGCTTAGCCTAGACACCATTCCCTAGATATCACAGTCGTTTATGGGACACGTCGAAATGGACCAACTAACCAAGAAATAAGAAATATATAGACTGCAGAGTCATAGCGATGTGTACTAATAGTTAAATGATCCCGTCCCGTAGGAATTGACACAGACTGAATTTCGCGCTCTATCTGAATCTTATCAACAGGAATATCGGTAAGTCATGGCTTCCCATAAAAAATAAATATCCAACATTTTTTATTAGTCATGGTTTTAATTTGATGTGTACTACCAAATGTAATACCGACAAATTAACGAGGTTAAGAAACAGAACTGTGAGGTAGTCAAACATCAAGTGTTAGTACAAGGGAATGTGACACTACTGGAAAAGTGTCGTTTGTCCGTGAAAATGGAGTGGGGATTACTTCGCCCTAATAGCCTTTTTTATATGAAGACAGAGTCTATCAATGATGGAAGCAACTGATGATATTTTTTTAATGTAATTTTGACACCAGCATGACACCTCATTACGTCAATTAGGTTTGGCGGTTTGCGGTAATACAACGCTACAGTCAAAGATCCGGTCCAAAACCTGTATATGATAGGTTTATACTCCAAACATCAATACCACGCTGCTACACAACTTAAGAATATAACGATGATATCTGGATGTTGCCACCCATCCTACTCTCAAACCCCAGCTCCCCAACCTCTAAAATTAACGATATTTCTCAATAGAATTGCGAACGTCCTTTAAGAGTTTCAACTTGCGTACATCACATACTAACCGAAATACATCTAGGTGTGGAGAGACTAGGTTGCCCTTGTCTGTCTAAAATCAACTCATTTTTATAAATTCTTCGCTGGGAATACCAATATAGGCGCAAAACATGTCAGAAAAAATAACAACGAAGCTCCCTTTTTTTACCGTTTTTTTTTTATCGCAAGGCAACACGAGAACGTTTTAAAAATATTACAAGCCGAAAGTCTCTTTTCTTAAAACGTAACTATCTCCATGATTATCGAACTGTTGGTTTCAACAGACCAATATATCGACAGCTATATTGTATGTCTACAATTGTTACTATGTAAGTTGGAGTATGTAAACATGCTGTTTCAAATCTCTCGTCTGTGTTTATCTTATTTTTCGTTTCAACTTTTTTTCGTTATCTGCTGGCCTCAAATGATCGTTCCAAGTTGATGGGCGTTGAAATTGCCATCGTGATAAACACACCAGGTAAATATCGATTGTCAATAAGACGGATGACACTTTGCGCAAATTCATTTCTTTAAGAACCAAAGAAGCAAATTACACGTAACAAGTTTGTTTACATCCTGAGTGTAATTAATAGAACATTATCCTTTATTATAATATACTTGCTAACAATTTGAAAAAAAAAATACGTTTAGTGAACAAACAAACATATTTTGTAACAGGTAAATAACAGGTAAGTTTTTATTTAAATGCTTCTTTGTTATAAATGTGTAAACCTCACTTTACGCTTCTTTTCTTTGTTGACAAGTACAGGATGTCAGTAACATTTTAGTGCGTATTTCTAAAATTCAAAGTTTTTACCCATGACTGCAACATATAACACCATGAATCATTTTAACCAGCTAAGTAAAGTAAAACCTCGTTATCTCGCAGTCTTAAAACTCAAAGACCCTGTATAATTTGAAGTAGTTCTTCGGTACCGGCCAAATTTACACTAAACACTCTATATTATGTAAATAAAATAATCGGTTAATTCGAATTTCTCCACGGTCCCGGCGACTTCGAGATAACGAGATTCAATTGTATTTGACTTCTCCATCGAGGAAAAAGGACTATAAACGTATTCTTACAACTGTTATTTGGGTTAGAATTGTCTAAAAGGCACAAGTTAAAGGGACATTTCATTTATATTAGTGCAAGATATCGTAGAACCAAATAATTGATTGAACTTAATTGACTGATCTATCAATGTTCCGTATTTCTAGGACTCTTATGATTAAGGGCTATGACCTTGATTAGTTTTAAAATCTAGAAGGAAAATCAAATTCGCGGGTAAGATTATTCAAATCTACAATGCGAGATTTACCAGCACCACAATTTAAAACAATCGAAATTTATATATTCAATAATTTCAAAAGAACGTCCAGTATAGTTGTAGATTCTGTACCGTGCCATGTTAGTTAACCGAGGAATTGAAAACACTGATTGTGGATGATATAAAGATAATATCAAGAAGTAGCATAACATAAAAACTGAAGGTAATACTGACGTCAGTTCAAGTAGTACTAAATGTCAACTGAATCCCGCACACTAAAATAAAGCATACTTACAATTAACACGTGTTATGTACAGCTAATTCTATTTGACAACACACCAGGAAGTAACTTTACAATTTGTAAATATATATTTGCTTTTATTGATACGACGGTGTTTCCCACTGAGGGGATTTAGGTCACTCTTAAAACTGAATTGATTGTCTTACGCAGGGTATCTCTGCCGCAACAGTGAAAAAAAACCCCAAGAAAATAAATAACCATAATTCAAAGTAATATTCCATAAAACTTCAGCAAAATATGAACAAAAGAAAGATTTACACGGAGACTCCTGAAAAAGTGCAAAGAAAATACTACCTGATGTTCCGAAAGAGTAAGCGTCTTATGCTTCATTGACGACACCCACCATATAAACCTTGGTCAGTGCAGTTATGTAATGTCACAATCTCAAATGAGAACAAGGTATACAACAATGGGGAACCAATAGGCAAGCTAACAAGCATCAAACAAGTCCAGCTTCTTAAGGCACACAAAATGTACAGATCTCATATGGAATTCACTTTTGTTTTAGCTATGCGGTACACTAACGAGCATCAAATACGTCTGCCTTCATGTCACACAAAAAATAGAAGTTTTCTCAAAGAGATCAGTATGGCGACCATAAAACTTCCCCATAATTTTCATCAACCTGTCTTTTGAACCCTTATGTTACGAGTAGTCAGTCAGTTGATACCTTTTTGCACGAAAACCAGGAATAAAATTATTTTGTAGTTTGAAAGTTTTTTCCCTTTTTTTCCCCGAGGACAAAATAGAACTTCAGCACCAATATTTTATATCATGAATCATAGCGCTGTCATTTTGAAAATCATACGTCAACTGTACTGGTTCATCAATCGATTTTAATTGATCACATTCAGAGCTTCGACTATTCCGATGGTACAATACCCCAACTCCGATCCAGCGTGCATTTGCATGGGTAATTAGTGTTCTTTCAACCGCATGCTGTTATCCTATAGACAGCGGGTAATGATTTGTACAACACTTTTATCACACAAGTAGCTGCTGGTATTGTGAATTGAGGAGGGAAAGTTAAAATGGGATTATTGTTAACTTTGTGGCGTTGTTATACCGAACAAACCTTTCTTATTTCAAATGTGAGATGATATATATATATATATATGTATATACACAATAAAGTTTTTTCTCATACTTGTACTTAAGGAATTACAATTGTATAATTTTTGATAAACTTGTCACGTTGTGGTGGTCATTTTCAATTCAAATGGTTTGTTTTGTTGTAAGCTGTGTCTGGAGTATACATCATTTAATTTTTAAAGTTATAGTTTCTATCTTAAATCATCCAATCCGTTCTGTGTTCTATGTACCTACTGTTGGTTTATGGTCATTTAAGGTACCAGACCGATTTATTGAGTGAATGTAAATATACATATATTTATATGGAAACTTTTCAGTCCCTTAAAGCGATAGATTTTAATGAGAACGCACTAAAAACAGTAATTTTGAAAATTCACAGATATTTTTTTCCTGACAAAGTGAAAGAAAAATTAAGTCAAATGCTTCAGCGAATTACTAGTCCTTCGTAAAACGTTACTCTTGTTTGGTATCGCTTGGTATCAAACAAAGCTTCATATACAGATGTAAGAGAATTATGCACGTGTTGAAATTTAGGAGACATATGTTTTCCTATGGCACTTTAAACACGATCACGTCATTTAAAAGAAAATATTTGAGGACAGTAATGACGGACACGGTGAGA